GGTCTAAAAACACGCTGACACGGATCACATCTAAGTGTGTTAGAAATAAATACTAGGTCGTCCTTGTTGTATTAATTGTTTCAGTGTCTAGCTTCTTCTCTCAACTCAAATAATAATAAAAAAAAAAAAGACCGTTTGATGGTATTCGTCGATGTCACTTGTAATACCTTGCGTTATACCTCAGTTGTTTTTACTGTCACACCTCCAAGAGCTTTTCCATTTAAATAACAGCTTTCTCCTGTTGACACTTTATCTCTTGCCTAACCTTAATTTGTACCCCCCCTCCCCCCCCCCCCCCCCCCCCCCGGGCGGGTTGCCACTCCGCATCAATCGGCAATCAGCGTCATGGACGGAGGAGACTCTAGCTGATAACGGCTGTAGTCCGGAGCCAACGAGAGGTGTCCCTCAAGAAGGTCCCGTCCTCCTGAGTGGCTGAGGCCCCTTTGGTGACGATTCTGTAGGGCGTCCTGGGGGGGTGCATTGTTGATCTTGACCCAGTGGCCTGTCACGAGGGATTTATTATCTTGGCTTCTAATTTCTGATCCGCATTGACAGACGGCACAGTCGGGGCGGGCGGGGCGGGCGGGTTGGCCAACCGTCGTGTATCTATCCCCAGTGTGTACCGTCCACTCGCGTACCAATGGTACTGGCGATGAGCTTCAAGCCCAACAATGAATATGAATATGGAATACTGCCAGATGCGATTTATTTACAGATACCGGGCTCTGGGTTGTATCGACTTTTAACAACCCCTTGAGGAGGGAACTTCACCGAAGGGGAACAACCCTTTACCTCATTAATCAGCTAAAATAGCTGGTCTGTTCCATACAACGACGTCACCGGATGGAACCCTGGCATTATTAACATATATCAGCCTCTTCCGCGGGCTCTTGGGTGTGTATATAACCACCTGTTTTTCTGCTCTTTCTCTCATCTCTTTTCCCTTTCTCTGATCCCCCGCCTTGATTCAATTCTCTCGCTTCCCCCATATTAATCGTCAATTGATTAGTGGCTCCAAGTGCATACCACTCGATTCGCAGAATTATTTCTTTTCCTTGCCCGAGTTGCATTCTCTCGATATCTTGCAGCAAACCACTGTATCTCCGTCTTCTCCGTTGGGCATCTATACAGTTGATTCTTTCCAACGACTGGTGAGTTGAATTTGTTTAGTTTCCTTTGCCCTTCGAATCCCAGTTCCATTTTGAATATTTCGAATTTCCCTTTTCGCGCCCGTGAGATCATCTTTGCGCCTGGTTGGTTCTCCACACATTTACAGTACCCGATGGCGCCCCAAGCGGGCGGGACAATTCCCATGGGGAAAAATGGCAAGGAATAATAAGTACTATATTATTCCTGCCTGCGCCCACCTTCATCTGCATTGTTTTTTTTTAATCCAAAACCTGCGATTTGTGTGCTTGTCTTCTCAACTTGCGCCTTACGATGCATGCAGTCCTTCTTGCTTCTGCCCCGCTTCCTCTTGGCTGCGCCTAGCCGTTGGCTGGTTGGTCGCTCAATTCTCAGCCTGATGATACACACACACTGCATATATTTACTGTCCGATCCCTCTCGCACATCCTTTTCAGCCGCTGTTGTTGTGCCGAAAAGTTTTTCCCTCCACCTTTTGCGACTTGTTTCTTCTACTCAATTATTTCCATATTCCACATGTTGATTTATTATCGGAGCTATCTGTCCAGACCATCTTCCTTTCATTTCCCTGGATCCAGCACTACCCCGCTATTCCCAGCAAACACCCCCCATAAGCTGAACTCTAGGGTCTGCTTTCATTCTGCTTGATCTGCTCTGTCTATTCTCAAGTACTCACCCTCATGAGTTATTCATACAGAGACAGTGACTGGGACGTGGTCTCTCGCCAGTCCGAACCAAGATCTTACTCGGTGAGACGTTACGTCATCCCATCCGAAAAGAAGTCGATGTATCGTCGAGACGAGCACCCGATGAGCGAGCGCGAGCTTGTTATCCGCCGGCCGCACGACCGAGATAGTCGATACGACTACGAGTATCGTAGGGAGAGAGATTACGATCGTGAGTCTACCAGCCCTAGTCGAACACCCAGTCAATCCCTTCGAGAAGAGCATCATTACCATGCACAAAATATTTTTATCACCCAAGAACCCAAACCAATAATTAATAAAGATGCATACCGCCCCTCCTCCTACGGGACCTCCCGCGATGACTCAGACTACCAAATTGTGAGTCGGTCCGAGGCGGATGACAATTGGGCGATGCGGAGTGCTCGTGATCCTCGAGACGACGATTATTACTATGCTCGAAGCACCAGAGAATACGACCACGGACGGCATCACCGTGATGAGTACGAAGAACGCTATTACTACGGCGATAGCCCTCGCAGTTCAGCCTCTCGAAGAACCAGGAGTCGTCATGGCCGCGACTATAATAGTGACGATGACACGACATACTCTCACAGAAGCAGACGCCATCGCGATGAAAGCCCACATCACTACAAACGCCACCTTGCCGAAGGTGCGCTTGTTGGAGTCGGTGCTGCTGAACTGATGCGACGAAAATCCAAGAAGGATGGCGAGGAATCTAGCGGCCTGAGCCGCATCAGCATGGATGTCGGTGCAGGAGCCCTTGGCGCTGTAGCTGCTGATGTTATCCAACGGGCTAGAAGACACTATCGTAGCAGGAGCCGCAAACGCGCGGAATCACTCGATCGCGGTCGGGATCGCAGTCGGGAGCATCGGCACCGACACCGTAGACACCGGAGCCGCTCATCTTCAGATTCTCATGTCAAAACCCTTGCAGGGCTCGGACTAGGTGCAGCAGCCATTGCAGGAGCAGTTGCTCTAGCCCAGAAAAAGTCTCAGAAGAACGCAGACAAATCAAAAAATCACTCGCACGACAGACGAAGTCGCTCCCGTCACCGCCGGGGATCCGGCTCGAGCGCTGACGAAGACCGAGCCTCGCATCGCAACAAACGAACGGCAGAAGCCGGACTTGTCGGTGCAGCAGTTGCAGGCTTGATTGAGCGAGCTAGGAGCAAGTCACGATCCCGAAAAGGGGAGAAATCGCCAGGTAGGATTAAGCAGGGTCTTCCAATTGCTGCTGCTGGCCTTGGTACTGCGGCGATTGCCAACCTTTATGAAAAGCACAAGGAAAAGAAAGAAAGTGAATCCTCTGAGCGAGGACACAGACGAAGGTCCAGGTCGAAAAGTGTGGCTCGATCATCAACCTATCCAGATGCCTCCAGATCCGCCCCTCAGCTCGTCGAGTATGGCGATGATCCCATATACGGAAGTATCCCAGCGGATAACTATTATAGACGACCGCCGAGCCGACAGCCATCTCGTAATCGCAGGGCCAGCCGCAGCCGCACTCGTTACCGTGATGACGGCCCAGGAAGCGGGACCTCATTTTCTGACCGAGACAGTGGACGTGAACATCGCCACAATCATGGGAATCGTAGCAGAAGCCGTACTAGGGACCTTGCAACTGCCGGGCTCGCCGCTGCGGGTGCAGGGCTTGCTGCTCGAGAATATACGCAACGGCAGGAGAGAAAGAAAGCTGAGAAGGAGCGCAGAAGTACGTGACACATTAAATTGATATAATAGAACATTCCTATTATGTTATTATTATTACCTAGTTGTTGCTTTTTATGTATTTCGGGTTGAATTTATGAACATAACTTCTGGTCTTCCCAACGTGAGAGGAAAACAAATTATGCAATATACAAAACAAATTTTGTATAGAGGCATGCTAACAATCACACTTCAACAGCATACCCTCATGACCATGACTATTTACAATCATTTGAGGAGGAATATGAACCCTCTACATATGTAGCGTCTCCCCCGCTAAATAGTCCGTACTATCCACAAGAAAACCGATTCCCACTCCCACCTGGCTCAACCCCTATCCCACCACCCCCGCCCAACGTCCAGCCAGGACCATATAACCCGGCCGATTACCCGCCGCCTCCAGCCGCAGCCCAGCCGCCGCCAAACCATCCTTACCCTCCCCCTCCGGGAGGGGACTCATCTGCACCCAGGACCAGGGCCGACGAGAATGTGAGTGCTGTACCAACGGCGAACCCCACCCTCTCGTATGGACAGCGCCAGACCTCAGAGGGTGGGTTGAGGTCCCACGAACCCGTTCTGGAGCCACATCGCTAACGATATATTTTCTCTCCTCTCCATTTTACAGAAATAACGACCACATCACCTCGACAAATACTGGCCCCACTGCCACCACCAACCCATATAGATATCAACGACCATAATGAAACCAAACATTCCACTTTCACCACCCAGCCCTCAATCCCGTTCCGGCGCCCGGCAGCTTTCTCCATCACCTCACCATCATCAGCCTCAATATCAACAGGGACATCCATCCCCCGGCCTCCCTCCCGCAAGAGATTCAGAACCAGATCATCCAGCCAACCGGCCCCACCACCACCAGCACCAGCACCACAACCACAACCACCCACCAAGTCCGTCCAATTCGATCTCCGCCCAAGATACGACACACTTCCATCCACACATAGGCGCGCAAGAACGCCCACCGGCGATCTGCGCAGCGGCTACGAGACAGACGACAGCGACTCACCATAGATGGGCTCGATCGTTCTCGAGTTCCCCGGCACGATTGGATACCGGAGCGTTCCCGGCGGCATCCACATCGAGCGAGAGATCTCAGGGACACTGAGAACTTTGGGGGAGCATCCGATTCGACCACTGAGCTTCCTGATCGGTTTGATTCGTATGGCCGCCGGCTTTTGGAATATCGAGTTTAATGGCCAGGGTAATTCTTCAATGCAATACGCGGAACATGGAAGGTAAATTTGCAGACTGGACTGCTACTGTTGTCTGGTAATGACATGATGGTGAATACTATTTGCTTTCCCTTGTTTTCTCTCTGCTTCTGTCTTTGCTGTGTCCCCTTTGATTTCCGCCAATATATATAACCCATGGGTGGCTATTTGTGTTCATACGTTTTCTATCTCCTTTAATTTATATCTACGTCCCTACTTGAAGCATTTAGTTGATCTAGTCTGGTTTTATTTTTATTTTATTTTTTCGGTTACATCCCGTTTTTGCTATTATTCTATCTATCTACGCCTCATTTTCTTTGTAAATCTGTCTCGTAATGCCCCTAAATGAGTTATGAACAATTTTCCTATGATCCGATGTTTTTCTTCCTCCCTTGTCTATTTTCTCCCTCTATGGTTCTTTTTGATTCTTCATTTTCATTCCGTGATACATGACTATACCATTTAGTTACCCCTTAGTTAACGATTAGCTATCTAGATTTTGAAAATAAATACGATGTTATGCGCGTAGAGACTTGCTTGTTTTTTCGAAGTTCGGGACACTTGGCTGTAACTATTATCCAAAAAGGATACCCGCTCATTCCACCCCAGGTAATCACACTCAACAATAAGCAGTTGTTCTGGTAGGTAACTAGGCATAATATGACAAAACTCTCTTCATTTATGAACCCCCTTAAAGAAAATTTGAGAAAGAGCCTCCAAAAGGAGAAACTGAACTCAACGCCACTGTATTCCAAAATATACCTGTTGCCTCCCATCCCCCATCTCCCATCCCCCACCCCCCAAACCCCCTTCCCAAAACAATGATACATAATATGTATAGTACACGGCGCAGCCTCCATCCATCCGACCCCACACCCCAAGTCCAAAACGTTTATCCTAGCAAACATTTATAACGACAAATCCGGGAAAGGAAAAAGGGAAAGAGGTGAAACGAGGTGAAACGAGGTAAAAACTATCGAATTGTTATAGAACCAATGAGAAGAAAAAAAAAAGGGGGGGATATTTAATTCATCTCAAACACAATGCGAAAACCAACCCCATGCACTCTTGATGCCCTTTATACAATTCCGTACACTCGTTTCGCGATATAGAAACAGGCAACTGCGAAGACGACGAGGCCAGCAGTGACTGTAGTGTGTTGTTGGGTAGCTGTTAGCGGGTGGAGGTTTTTTGGGAACGGTGCTAAGGGGAGGAAAAAAAAGATAAAAGGAGAAGAGAGGAGGGAAAGTGGTGTGCGGGCCAACTTACTTGACCAAAACCAGTATAAATTGTCAATATCCTGTCCGGGCACTTTGACGTTCATGCCCCACATGCCGCAGATGATGTTCATGGGAAGTACAATGGTACCGAGGACGGTGAGTTTGCCGAGAACATCGGCGGTCTTTTCTTGTCGTTCGTTCATGCGGATGTTGATTTGTGCGAGATAGTTCGAGTGCGCTCGGGAGAGTAGCCTGCATGTATGTACCTGTGTTAGAGTTTTGCGCTTCGGAACAAACCCAAGAATGTAAATGTTTCGAGGGGGGTGGAAGGATGGAAGATCTCTGATGTACAAACGTTTCATAGTGGTTCAAGTTACTCGTCATAGTCACGATGTGGTCCTGAATATCGCCGAGATAGAGCCCAATTTCAGACTTGGGTGCCACCTCCCACTGCTCGTTGCACCGCTTTGCAAACCCCTTAATCACGTCCGCCTTGTTGCCCAGTAAGCGGTAGAGACTCATGACTTTCTTGCGGCATTCGCCAACGCGCCTAAGCATGTCTGAACCGGAAGGTAAAGGCTCTTCGCCAAATTCGCCGGAGTCCGCTGCCGCCCATTTCTCGTCGGAGTGTAGTTGCAAGATTGTGTCGTCTATATCATCAACCTCAGTCTCCACGGAGTGAATCAGAGGGCCAAAGACGTCGGTAATGTCATCGATAATGGCGTAAGAAATCCAGTCGGAGCTTAGAATCAAGTAATCCTTGAGCTGCCTGATTCTGCGGCGAACGTTGGCAGGATGCGGGATCATTGAGAAGTGGAAGCTGATGATCCCCTCTCGAAACACGACGACGTACATGTTGACGGGTTCCAGGTAATTTTCGCGATGGATATCCTGCTCAAACGTGCGGTAGTTGATGAAATAATAGTGTCGGAAGAGTTCAACTTTCTCACGAGCTTCTTGTACCATGATATCTTCAGCTGTTAGAGCATGGATGCCGAAAGTTTTGGAAATGACCCGCATCTCAGTGTCAGTTGGACATAGTACATCCAGCCAAAAAGTTGGACGGGGGCCATATCGTTTCTCCTTTGGGGGTTTGGTCATTGGAAGAATTCCAGAAGTTGTTGTGCCCTCCGTTGGGACGGCCGCAGCAGTATCACTTAAGTTGTGAGGATCACGTTGGTGACTTTCACCGTGATATCCATTTGTGGTGGACGTATCCATGCTAGCATCCCGATAATGGGGAGATTCGTCAGGATTATCCGATTCACCTGAAGAATCGTCCTCTAGCTCAGGAGGATCAGGAATGAAAAGGTTACGGAATGTTTGGCCAGGTTGCAAGAGCTCCGAAATTGTCTGACTGTGAATCGTGCTCTGGAACTCTTCGTTGAAATACGTGAAACGATACGGGGTGTCTTCCTCTTCCCGTACCCATCTCGCATTATGTGGCCGCAATCTTCCTCCGATAAGCACTGGTTCGTTGATTTTCTTTGCCCGTATTCCCCCACTGCGTTCCTCCTTCTCTTCACGACTCCATTCTTCTAATACCGAAAGATCTGGCCAGACCCGTCTCCGCCTCCGTCTACGCCCACTTCCAAACGCTTCTTCTAGCGGAGGACGTGGAGCGTAATCATCGTCTCCCAAATCGGACAATGCACCCGTTGGAAAGCATACGTCTTCTTCAGCAGGAAGAGTAACCGTGCGTCGTCGCTGGAGGTCTGGAGGCCTAAATGTTGGGGAAGCAGCTGACGAACCGTTCCTAGAGGCATGTCCTTCCCCATCAACGTCTATGACATGACAGGGCACACTGGCAGTGCTAGTGATACCTGGAGATGTGTGATCGAAGTCATGGCCACCAATCATCGGGTCATCATAGGCAGCATCCGGCCCCATGTGAGGACTTCCGGGCACAGATGGCGGATTGTTAACATCGTATCCTCGCCTTAAACTTTGGGCCGTGCCGATAGAGTATGGAACTGTTGAGCGGAAAGACGACGTTTCCGACGTGCCTCCTTTGGGCGAGGGAGCATTTGAGCGCTGTCCTGTACCTGCACTGGTCCCATACCGCACAAAGCTTGAGTTGTGAATAGAGCTGGGTTTTATCAACGGCGTTCGATCGTCAGCTTCCTCGGATTCCTCCCCATCTATCGCTTGTGTCGGGGAAATAGGTCCTTGTGCTCTACCCGGGGGTCGAGAGGAAAGTGGCTGTGGTTCCGGACGATAGCTCTGAGCAAGTCGACTTTCCCTCCGCGGGCGCATCATTGGCTGGCGTCTATATATCAAACCCCAACATCATAGTTAATTTCACATTCCCATGTCTTTATGACCCTATCAACTGACTGGGCGTACATATATATATATAAAGCGGATGAACAATGCAGAAGTGATATAAGCACGCCCTTGCATACCTGTGATCTAACAAAGCATCGCTATCCAAACTGGTCTCACTCAAGTTGTTCGGGCCCAGCTGGCCAAGGCGGTAAATGGAAGCACGGCGCTGAGACGCTGATGCACCGGTGGGTTCAGGTCCACCCTCTCCTCGCTCGGGAGAGGCGCCAGCTCGCTCATCAGTATCAGCGGAATCAGGTCCGGCGGTGTCGAGCCGCGGGGCAAAGGATGGCCGGCGGTGCTTGCGTCTTCGATGGCCACGATGCTTCCGCTTCTTTGGTGCAGTGCTGTCAGTTGGTGGCTCTGGGACAGGCCGTGATTGCGATTGGGCAGTTCCACTCGCGTTAGGAGGCCGTGAGCTGGCTGAAGACCTATGTGCTGGTTGGGGCTGGGCCGGCGGTGGGAGAGAGATCCCATGCTCAGGTTCAGGGCTCTCGTGGCTGCTAGGATCCATGACAGAAAGAGAATCAAGGGAAGACCAAAGCTGGTATATTCATGGAGGAAACATGTCTACCGTATGCAGGTCGGACAGGACAGCAGTAACCGGTAGCATCTGTAGGCGGAGGAGGAGTGAGTGGTGGTGTTTTCTTGTTTGGTTGGTGAAGAGCTGGTTGGAAGGTCTGGAATAAAAATAAGCTCTCGGCAGTTCGTGAAGGAGGCGATTCATGGAACAGATCGTGGGATGGAACGAGGGAACCTTGGAATATGATTGAGGCACACCAAAAAGACTTTATTTCAGGCGGATTTGTCTCATTCACCTTTGTTAAGACTAAAAATAAATCTCGATTCTGTTTATTTAGCTGCAAACACTGGGGATGAGCACCGCCGTTCTGCGACCAGGAAGTTTCAACGAAGAAGTCAAATATTATATAGGAATGCAATTATCATTACTTGTTTATTTTAGGAAAAAGAGGAGAACTACATCTTCTCTAAATTAACTATACATACATATAACTATACGCGTAACAAACATACAGTTATTGGTCATATCTCGTCGTCATAAATCGTCGGCACTCTATACATGAATGGAAACACTGGAGGAATAACAAAAACAAACAATCGAGGGAATCCCGAAATAAATGGCACATACATAGGAAATAAAGCATAACAGACATCAAAAAAAAGGCAAATGCTAACCCTCCCATTTTGCTTACCTGTAGCGATAGCAGCGGCTGATATGAGAAAGAGAAAGAGGAAAAAAGATAAGAACACGGAAAAAGCAGCAAACGAAGCAAACGAAACACCTCTTATGTTGAAGTAGAAGTTGTCCATCCATTGCGATGATTTGTACTTCCCACATGAACTACGAGCATCATACCGAGTGTGACGCCTCAGATTACGTTGCCCGGATCCATGCTGATGGACGGAAAGCTTTGCATCGATTGGTTTCCATGGTCAATGGACATCCGGTCACCACTAAGCA